CTAATGGATACTCCGGTTAATAAAGAAAAAACATCTCCCACTTCCTAGGATGCTGTGTTTTATTTAGGCACTTAAACCAAAACAAAGCAAAACCCTAAGGCTTACCTTAGACCACTTCTTCCCTGAGTCAGAGGCCCACTACCGCTTTTTAAAGAGAACCCGCAAAGAACTTTTCAAAAATTGGCCTTGTGCCCTTTAATTACACATAAGGCAGGCCTGAAATATTTTTATGGGTTTTTTTTTTTTCACTGCTCGTTTTTCCGCTTAGAAAAACCTGGAATGTCAGGTCTGATTTTCCATTGGCTTTGTGGAAGGGTCATTGAGAGGTCTCAAAGCATATTCATTGTGGGCTCCAACCATTTAACTGAAGGAGAGAGTATGCTGGATTTGAGCAAAGACTTCCTTTATCCCAAGTGTTTAGTTATTGCAGTTAAATAGGTATTAACCAAAACCCCAAACTGGAGGAGTTTTAAATAGTCTGTCCAAAATTGTTTTCCACTGCAATACCTCAGGTTTCACACATCTGATTCTCATGATGTTACCATTGCACTAGCTCTCAACTCTTCAATAGCTTCTTTCAGCCTAGACAGGAATTGAATCTTTAACATAAAAAACCAAGCAGAAGTGGCTTTTTTGTTTTTTTTAGGACACACACACACACACACACACACACACACACACACACGTCATTATGCAGCAAAGAAACAAGGGTACAAGCCCATTTTCTTTTTGCAGATCACTATTAGCAGCAGCTGGGTGACTGGGCAAGTTACTTCCCTTTTCCCGTGCCTCAGTTTCCCCATCCGTGAAATGGGGATAATGATAATGACCTCCTTAGTCAAGTGTTTTGAGATCTGCTGATGAAAAGCACTATGAGAGCCAGGTATCATGTTATTACTACGCCTCACACCTATGGGCTGAAGGAAGTGGCCGTGGGAGAGCAATCCTTCTGGCCTTTGGGGAGTCAGTTTTGCCTCCCCAGCACTCTCATCACTGTAGCAAGCCTGATTGTTGTGGTTTCCTACAAGTGACGCTGAATGAGCAAATAGCAGTACTTGCATTGCAGCCAAGGAGAGCATCTCACTTCTGTGAACACTGAAATCAGATAGGAAAGGAAAGGATACTGCCCATGTTCATCACTTTGTGCCTACAGAATCCTATTTCTTCAGACAAGGCAAAGAGTTTGTTCCAGAAGGAAGAGGGCTTTCTGCTGTCCCAGCACTTGTTATTGTTCAAATGTTAAGATAAAGATGTTTTGTAGTCACCACACACACACACACTTTCTTTTTAAAAGAGGGGAAAACATGAATCACATTCTCCTGGCTGAGAAGCAGATGAAAACATTTTATTCAAACTCTCTCTTGAAAAAAAAAATCACCTTTTGGATGAGACAAAGTATGAGCACTCTCAATGCAAATGGAAATTTTTGTAAAGTTCAAAGCAAGTGAAATATTCGTGTTAAGCATGGAATGGCTCCTTCTGTCTTAACTGGTAGCACTGCAGGGAGTTTACGGGAGGGGAATTTCCCTCGGTGATCATCTATGTAGGCTGGTTACATTTGGTCTGGAAAACTGAAGTCCTCAATCTCAGAGCAGGTATGGCACAAGCAGCAGAAGTGCAAGTTTATCCATGTTTCAGTGCCAACTTGCCTCCATCAGACTGCTTCTGTCTCTTTCCTGGCTTTTGCTTGGCAAACCGTGTTCAGGAGGACAGAGCCAAATTAACTGTCCTGTGGGCCTGGGGCTATTAGATTGTGTGGGGCCACTGGAGGTTTGGAGTGGGCTCAGGGCTGGAACAGGGGATTGGGGTGCAGGAGGGGGTGCAGCTCCAGCTGGGGAGGGGGGTGGGTTCTGGGGTGGGGCCAGAGATGGGACGGGGTTGGAGTGCAGGTGGGGGTGTGGGGTCTGGGAGGGAGTTTGGGTGCAGGAGGGGGCTCCAGGCTGGGGTAGAGGTGCACGACGGGGTGCACTGATGGCTCCTGGTTGGCAGTGCAGCAGGGTCCCTGGATCCCTGCCTGCCTTGGCTCCGTGCTCCTCTGCACCCTGAGGTGGCTGGCATGTCCGGCTCCTAGGCAGAGGGGCCAGGCAGCTCTGTGTGGTGCACGCTGCCCATGCCCGCAGGCACTACCCCCGCAGCTCCCATTGGCCAGGGTACCCAGCCAATGGGAGCTGCAGAGCCAGTGCTGGGGGCAGGGGCAGCACGCAGAGATTCCCTGAATGCCCCTCGCCTAAGGGCCACAGGGGCACATTGGCGAGCCAGCGCTTGCAGCTCCAGCCCCGGGGGATAGCACTGAGGCTTGGGGACTGGTATCCGGCCCGTGGTGTGAGACTTGCTGCAGTCCGGATGAAAAGAAGCAGAGGGCTGCATCCGGCCCGCAGGGCCTCCCTTAGCCTGAGGCTCTGGGTGGCAGCCCCTAAAGCCCCTGCATTAATCCGGCCCTGCAGGAGGATAGCTCAGCAGCCTCTTTAAGGGTCAGAGCCCAGCTAGGCTCTTCTGCACCTCTTTGCCACAATCCAGGGAGGTCCTTCCACAGCATCAGGGTATCTTGTCCTGTCCAAGATGATTATTTGGGTGATGTCTGCTTTTTAGCTAAAGACGTGGTTGAAAAGGAATGTGGTTTTACTAACATTTACATGAATTAATCTATGTTGTTCTTTAGTTCCCGCTTACAAGAGAGTCCCCTCAGCTACATTCATCATTCCTTAGGGAGTGTTTATGAAATGTTAATTGAGTGATTCTTCCTCAACTAATAGTGAATGGTAGTGTTTCTATTTCTACACCACCATAAAAGTCTGTGGTGGCAGACCCCTTGCATCCCTGCGAAGCTCACTGTAGGATCAGGATCTAATTTACGACAAGACAGGGAAGATAATGCTGGTGTGAAAGGGGAAAGAAGAAGCTATAGAAATACTATAACAATGTTGCTTTGGATATTGATGCCAAAGTAGTGAGGGTTACTAAAGGTTTGTTTTAAAGCTGTGTCAAAGGAAGGAAGGACTAGACTGTGTAGGCCTCTTAGAAAAATAGAGTTTGAAAAGAAAACAGCAGGAGCAGAGTTGGTTTGTGTTACTGACCATGGACAGCTATTTTGATGAAGGATAACACATTTAATGTATTTAGGGAAGAGCCATCATGTATATGCAGTATCAGACAGGCTTACTACAAAAAACTATACATCAAATTTAACATTCTGATATAGGCATCTGTCACACGCAGTGATAGCATCGAAAGGACGGCTAGCAAGTTGTGATCATTGCAGGTACTGTATTTCCGGAAGATTATTATAGACGTTTTAATTGTTGTTCTGGTTGAAACTTCTGCTTTCTAATTCTAGCTCTTTGTTTCCATTTTTAGACTATTCAGCCGTGCAGCTGTTCTGTCCTGCACACTAACAGTCTATTTGTATTTTCCTTTCCTCAGAAATGGAAGGGTCTGAGCTACAGACAAAGATGATGATCCCACTTTCTGATTTAGGCTGCTTTCACATGTGCTTAACTTTCACATGTGCTTAACTTAAAGCATATATTTAGCCCTATTGAGTTCAATGGGACTAGTACTGCATGTATGCTTACAGTTATACATGTGTGCGATTGCAGGAGAATATTAAAAACAACAGATTCATATTTCGTAGGTGTAGAACATTCATAATTTATTTTATTTCAAGGCACCTGCTCTCAAAGTCCTCTGTGCGCCTTAAAAAAAGTAATCTGAAAACACAGTTTACAATAACTGGACACCACTATTAGATTGTAAGCTATTTGAGGCAAAGATGGTATATAAAAATAAAAACAACACACTGGCAGCACACTGTCACTACTAATGAAACCACCAGCACCTCAAGTAAATCCCACAGTAGCAAAAAAATCTGAGAGGAAAAACAGGGGGAAACCCTCCCCCCAAACCCAACACACATAATTATGTCCTTTCTTCCTGACAAATAGGATTCCAAATTCAGAAGTAATATGTGAGGGGCAAATTACACAACAGTGGGAGGAAGTGGTTTAAGGGAATCTAAACTGGCACCACGTTCACATTCTTCCAGATGGTATGCTCAGCAAGTTACCGTAGCTTAGACTCATTCATACATCATCTGTAAGGGCTTGTCTACAGAGGGAGAGGGGGAGGTTAAATCCACAGCTTTTTGAGTTTATCTGCTTTGACCACACTTGAGTAAACACAACACAATTTATTGTGAACACTGACTCTGCACTTATCACAAACTCTGGATTCCTCTTTCAAAGTGAACTAAACTTTGCTGTGAAGTGAGTTAGTCCAATTTATTGTTCGTGTGCACACAATGTGGCTGCTAACTACTTTGGCAGTTTTCCAAAGGCTATACCACACCACCTTGGAGGCGACAGTTACTGACCTGTCTGTTTACTTCTGTGCCCTGTCCTAGAGTCAAATTGATCAGATGTCCCCTCCCTCGTTTGGATTTAGGAGCGGGGAACAATGTTGGGGGAGAAATGAGGCCAGATTTAGGATACTTTCCCCCTCTCTATTTTTCTATTAATGCACAAATCCTCTAAGTTGTGTGAGAGCTAAGGGGGCTCTATACATAACACACAACAGAAAACCACAAAAGCAAGGAAATGAAGAGTTAAGGCATCTAATAGTACATAACTTTTATTTCTCCAATCAGAGAGGCATAGCTCACCAGTAGTGCAACCAGCATAACCTTTTTTTTTTGCAGAAACTGCATTTTCCATCAAAAATCATTTTGACAGAGAATTCTTGACCTACTATAATGTCACAGATGGACTAGATTTGAACCAATAGACAAAAGTTTCATCACATTACCAGTCTTCTGCAAGAGCCAGTTCTGTGTCCCTTGAGATGAAAGAACCCATAACCTATGCTTTATCTTCTTTCAGAGAGCCCATAAAAGCAGACAAGGCAGAGAATGGGCAATGACAGTCAGAAGAGACTATGAATAGAGCTCTAAGGGGAAGAGACACTATGAAACAATTATAATCTTTCAGGTTTTTCTTCTCTTCCAGGAAATGTGACTATGAACTGTACTGTTGAACTTCGTGTTACAAGAGGTGACAAATATGAGGGAAAACCTGGGGACTCCCTCAGTATAAAGTGTCCAGTAAAGTACTGCACAGAAAAGCCGGCCATGAACTGGTGCAAGATAGAGGGGACGGACTGCTTACGTCTGGAAGATGAGCCAACCACATACATAACCTGGAAAGAAGGGAATGTGTTTGTTCTGAACTTTGCACCTCTTCATCGGAACAACAGTGGATTCTATCATTGTCAAGCTACTTTGGGCAGATTAAGGAGTCAGAGCCATAGAGTAGTAGTTATTGTTCAAGGTAAGCATTAGAAGATAACTATTTTTGAAGGAGTTTCTCTTTATCAGAACTGATTCCAAAGGTTAAAAACTCATTCTATCTGGAAGCCCTGTTTCTACAAACACACACACTATTCAGTGGCAAAGTAGTAATCCAAGTGGCCTCCAAAACATTCTTACCTCTCTCATTCTGCTCCTGTTAATGTCTGCCTTCCCTCTTTATGGCTCTCTTAATGGTCATTAGGAAGAAATCAGGAAACACCCAAGAGGATCAGGAAAAGAAAAATACAGTCATGGGGGATTCTAAAACTCTTGGAATTTAGGATGATCCATGAAAGGCCAATCTAGTAATAAGAAATATAAGTCAGTCAAAGCCAAGGAAAGTCAGGAAAGGTACAGTCTGGTCACAAGCTGCACAAATCAGTCAAGATGCGAAAAGGTGCATGTTATTGGACAAGTCAACACAGTACAAGGAATGAAATGGCTTAGGAGAAAATCATGCTGAAAGCAACAGTTGTCTTACAGAGAGTACAAAGGGAGCATATGACTTCGTGCTATGCCTCTTGGAGGCACAGAATACAGTACAGTCCCAGCAGCAAGAGGGATATGATGCCCTTGGGATATGGGCTTGGTGTGGTTCCCAGAACAACTCAGAGGTCTGCTCTAATTCATGGCAGCCCTGCCTGGGCTGCTTATAAGCAGCTCTGCAACCAGGAACTGCTCAATATGGCTCTGGCACAGTCCTTGCCTAATCCAGCTGTAAGGCTGTCTTACACAGTGCCTGCACCAGGAGAATTCTCTCCTAGTATGTTAAGGAGCTTTTATGGGCCCTGTTCACTGCTGCAGCAATGTACATAGGGTGCAGGGATAGAAAAAATCCCTCACAGCATTTATTGCTGAACCTTGTGAGGAGGTTTAGCCTGTGCCCAGCTCACAAGTCTCTTGGTATGAGCTAAACTCTAATAGAAAGTGATGAGCAAAAAAAGAAAAAAAAAAAGTATTCACAAATGTATTTTGAAAAAGTGACATAATATCTATTTGCAAATTATTCACTTGGCTGATTTTTTTAAATGTCAAAGTCTTTGAATAAAATGTGTGTGTACTACTCAAGCAGCCTTAGGAGACAAGTGCTGTGCCCTCCCACCAACTGCCTTCTTTCTTGTTTTGTTGTTTCCCTTAATCGAAAGTAGAAGTCATGGAGACTTCACTATAAGATTGCTCTTTGAGTATGGAAAACATAACCGGAACATGAAGTTTACCAAGTTCTCAGATCAGTTTCAATTCTTGTCCTGCTTTTCTTTTTCAGAAGTGACTCCAAATGCCCCCACAAATCCACCATCAAGTAAGTTCTGATCTTCTCTCATAAAATAGGGGAACTATCTAGTATTTATATGACTGTGTCTGGGGAGGGTCATATATTTTTGCACATACTGAAATACTGTTTAACCTCACTAAATCACTGTTGCTCACACCATAGCTTGAATGCTTCACTTGGACCTAAACAGTCATCACCTATGCCAGAATCCCCTGCTGCTGCCAACCCTAATGCATGAATGTATCAGCATAAGCGAGACAAAGCTAATTAGACACTCCATCATAGTGTAACAGATTGTTCAGTTCACACACATTTCTCTCATACTGCGTAATACATGCTACACATGTCACTCATGCTGTTCCAGGAGTCACACTGTATCAGAATTGTAGTCTTTGATTAATTTACAGTGCAAAATGCACAAGTCACTAATAACAGGTTCTTTTACTCAGGTGACTACTTAAATATTTGTTACAGGAAATAAGATTGGTGAGTCACATATATAGAGACATGAAGACTTTATTTAGTACCCAAATGCAAGCAAGTATAATTACAGTCATAGAAAAGTCAGATGAGGATAGAAAAACAATTCCCTACAATGTGCATATTTACAACCTTATGGAGATCATCATGAGTGAAGATGGAATGAATAGTACATGGAGAAGCACTGTAAGTGGGAGTGATGATAAGGTTTCCAGACTGATGTTTCAACTAAGGGCTGAGTGTACATTTTTTATACACCTTTCCATTACACCCACACATGTATGGGACCATATTTGATTAAGTCTCAGTGCCCTGTCCTTGTATAGCTGGGGTAAAGGCTTGCTATGTGAAAGGGGTCACCAGTAAAAAAGTTTGAGAGCCACTGTTGTATAGCATTCCAGGGGGCCAATGTCAGAGTTCAGGCCGCTTGCATGCCCAATTTGCGTCAATGTATTTCACAATAGTTTCAATGGGTAAACTTAGTTTTGCTGCATGGTTACATATACACCTCTACCTCGATATAACGCTGTCCTTGGGAGCCAAAAAATCTTACCGCGTTATAGGTGAAACCGCATTATATTGAACATGCTTTGATCCGCCGGAGTGCTCAGCCCCGCCCCCCTGGAGCACTGCCTTACCGCTATATCAGAATTCGTGTTATATCGGGGTAAAGATGTACCAAAAAGCCCCTAAAATGCTATTATTTTAAGTTTAATCTATTCCTTTGCAGTTTACTTGTTTATCACAAGATACATATTGCTAAAAATTATCATTGTAGGTTAAGTACTTATGCCAAATATTTAAGCCTTATGTTAACTACTAGTCTCTGTTAGGTGTTAAACTTGTTGCAAAGCCTATTTTGACTATTTATACATTTTGTTCTTCCCTACTTACATTACAGCTTTAATATCCGCATTTATAAGCATGTTAGCTTTTAACATATAGATTATAGTTTAAACACAAGCATAAACCTTCCAAGATCAGTTCGGGGTCAAGGGTCAACAGAACATAAACAACATCTTAAAGAGATTACCCAAAGCCATAATCTGTTTAGTCTGCCTGGCCTATTCAGGAGTGTCACACCCACACACTATGAACCAACGATGCACAGCTGCGCCCTTGTCAACAAAAAGGGATCTGTGCACCCTATACATTACATGGGTTTCAAAATAGATATGGGGGAAATTATCTTTACTATCTTTGTCACCCTCATTTAACATACTGTTCTCTTGAAACATTACAGGCAGCAAAGGGACAAAAATCTCATAGTTCCCCACCAATCTGGCTCCTCTGCCAGCCCTTCTCCTTTCTAAGCTTTTCCTCCTGCCGTCCCTTAAAGGGAACCCAAAGCTCCTGAGTCCATAGTTAGGCACCTAGATATATGGCCTGATTTCCAGAAGTGCTGAGCACCCAGCAGCTCTCATAGCCTCAGGGGCGGCTCTGTGTATTTTGCTGCCCCAAGCATGGCAGTGAGGCAGCCTTTGGCGGCGTGCCTGCGGGAGGTCTGCCGGTCCCGCGCCTTCGGCGTACCCGCCGCTGAATTGCCGCCGAAACTGCGGGACCGGCGGACCTCCCGCAGGCATGCCGCTGAAGGCAGCCTGACTGCCGCCCTCATGGTGACTGGCAGGCCGCCCCCCGTGGCTTGCCGCCCAGGGCACGCGCTTGGTGCTCTGGTGCCTGGAGCCACCCCTGCATAGACTTCAGTGGGAGCTGCGGGGTGCTTACCACTTCTGAAAATTAGGCTAGTGCCAAAGTCTGGACTCAGGAGCCTGTCTTTAGGCATCCATTTCTGAAAGTCTTGGGCTTTGGGTTTAGTTGAGAAAAAAATAAAATGGAACCTCCCAAGTTAGTTTTTTTCTATGCTGCAAAAAGTACAGGAAACGAAAAAGAGAAGAGGAGGCGAGAATCTGGAGCAGAAAAAGGAAGTTTTGAGCAGCCCCTAACCCCAATCCCCCTAAGAATTTCAGATAGCCTTTCACCCCTCACAATTCACTACATATATTCCTAATGAATATTTTAAAATGCTTGGTTAACTAGCCTAATTCAAGTTACTCTAAAAAATGTGCGGTTAGGAGATTACACAAATTGGTACATTGAATTTATGAACTAATCGGATGGCTCGGAATAATCCAGCCAACATCCTATATCATGTACTAATAAATCTTAGAGGAATTTGCAGGTGCCACTAATGTCACAGAAGCTCCTCAAGGACCTAGCAACAACAATAAGAAGTGGATTATTTATGCCCTACCATCTCTGGGGGCATTGTGTCTCCTCATCCTTATCTGCTTATGCCTGTTGTGTTGTCTGCGGTGGCACCAAGGTGAGCTCTCATACCACCTCCTGTTCTTCCTTTTGCTGCTGTGGGCAAAGTCATTTGGTTTTCTCTGGTTTCCACTATTTAAAACGTCCCTTCTCTAAGTACTGTTAAAATGTCTGAGAATAATCATCCCCAACTGACAGATGAGCTAGAACATGGCCAAGGCCCACCTGGTTATAATGATGATTCTTTGGCAGCTTTATTTGTCACACGGCCTACTCTCATCTAGGGATAGTGCAATAGGTTTGTATAAAATAAGAACCCACCCAAACCTCAAACTCCACTTCTTTAGTAGTTTGAAATGCTGTGATTTGCTCTTTGTCTCTCCCCATCCCCATTTTACAGATAAGACATTAAACAAGAGTCTTGACCACTTATAGTCATTACAGATCCCTTGCTACAGTTCATAAGGTGGGAGAGTTAACCTTGCAGTCCTGATCACACTCCAACTAATTACATTCTGCTTCCCTAATTTCCCTTTGTATTTTCAATTAGATACAATATTCTTCTTCCCTTCCTAAGATGTAGTGTCATGGGCTGTTACAAAAATGCTATCTTCCACCTCAGAAATGGAACCCACAGTTCCACTACATTGGTCATTTCCCTTACCTATTTCTCAGTGGCTTTCTGAGGGTTCGTTGGTTAATATTTGAAAAATGCTTTGAGACATTCCAATGAAAGGTTCTGTAATTGCCTACTACATGGCTCAAGTTTATCGAGTGTTTTCCATGCCTGATGCCTCTGGCTAGTATGTTCTTGTTTATGACTAGAACTGCCTCCCCTTCAGTTAATCTAGGAGAATCTCCCTCCTTCCCCCACCCCCCATATACTGGGAAGATATCTTTTTACATTTCTGGGGCTATGGAGGGACAGTCATATTTCCTAGTAAACTGTAGAATATGTTTATTACCCTTTGTCAAAATAGATCTTCCTGAATCCAACCTGGGCATACTCTAACTGGATTTTCATGTTTTGAGGTGTATCCAGTAAGGAAAGGGGTAGTTTACTGATGTCCATAACCTTTTTCTACTAGCAGAAAGACAATTCTCACAGTTGTTTTATTGATACACCATTTTCTTTTTTTTTCCTCCCCAGTGAAACCCAAGACAACCCCAGTAACCTCACAGAAGGAAATGAACACGGTATGTTTGAGCTCTGTGCTACCAAGCCTTGTCATATCCTGTATTATTGAGTGCTGACAGCGTGCTTAGTATTGTACAAACATATAGGAAGACAGTCCCTAGCTCAAGGAGCTAACAGTCTAAATAAAAGACAGAGAATACGCCTCAGTCATGTAACACCACATAGGCTGAAGGTGCAAAGTTCAAGTGAAGTAGTTTTGTTTTGCTAGTCCATGTTCTATAGTTGTTGGGTCGCAGCTGTATAAGGACTAGTGGAAGAAATCTGCTTTGAGTAGGGTTTTGAAGGGACAGAGGGATGACATTCCAAATATATGGGAATTGCGGAAGCAGATGCAAAGAGGATACAGATGGGGTTTTTAGGACAGGAGCCTGGAAAGAACACAGGCAGTGGAAAGGAAAGTGGAAAAGCATAGAAGCAGAGATCCTGGTAAGGTTGGAGCTGGGTAATGCAGTGAAGGTGAGGACAAGAAGTTTCAACTTGACATGGAAAGTGAAAGAAAAATGTGGCTATATGTATTACCATAGCAGTTAGGAACCCCGGTCGTGGACCTGGACTCCATTGTGCTAGGCATTGTACAAAGAACAACAACAACAACAAAAGACAGGCCCTTCCCAAAAGAGCTTACAGTCTAAGTATAAGACAAGAGACAACAAATGGGTAAGACAAGTGAGTACAGGGAAACAATGAAACCATATTCATCAGTATGATAGGCAATGGCCTCAACGCACCAAGAAGCCAGAGGCCAGTAATCCGATCAGAGTAGCAAGCAAAGGAAGATAGTGTTAGCAGCAGCATTTTTTGCAGACTGTTGGGGGACTAGAAATGACAGTAGGCAGCCAATGTGGAGTAGATTGCAGTAAGCAAGGTGAGGGAAGACAAAGTGGGAAGGAATGAGAGGGAAGAGTGGATTTCAGAAATGTATAAGAGGAACTGATAGATTTGGAGAAAGGAGAGACATGGAAGAAAAAAAAGGAAAGACAGGAGTCGCATTCAGTAATGTTGCGAGGCTGATATAGAGGATGGCACAGTTGTCAAAGGTGATGGAGAAAAGAAGGGAGAGGGCTGAAGAGGAAAGAAGGAGAGTTTCAATTTTGCCACTATGAGCTTGATTTGTCAGTGGGACAGCCCAGACATGGCGTAAATGTGAGATTGCAATGAGGGGAAGAAGGCAAGAGATTTGGGAATCACCTACCTAGTGATGGTAGCTGAAACGGTGGGACTGGATGAGTTTACCTAGTGAGAGTACAGAGGGATAAGTGGAGGGGACAAAGGACAAAACCCTGAGACAAAAGGAGAGGGGAGAAAGGGAGAAGTTACTGGTGGAAAAACAGAAAGATTGTGGAGAAGAAGGAGAAAATTGAAGCCCATGGAGGAGAAGTGTCAAAAAAACAGTGGGAAAGATGAGTGAAGAAAAATGGTACTTAAATGTGGCCAGTATGAGGTCATGTGACACTTGCATGGAATGTTCCAGAGGAGTTGAAAGGCCATAAACCAGACTACGCAGGATTCAATGGGGTGTTACAGGAGAGAAGATTGAGATAGCAGGAACAGATGTTCCACTCAAGGAGGGAGATAGAATTTAGGTGGATAGGTGGATAGGCAAGTGGGGTCCAAAGGAGGGTTTCTTTAGGAAAAAATACATGAATGAACTTGTAAGCAGACAGATGCTGGACAAGGGATGAAAGAAGGAATGACAGATTAGGAGATGGAAGGATGGGGACAAATAGAGAGAGTCTTGCATTCTGAGACTGGATGAGTGATGGGCAGGGAGAGCCATGGAAGTGAGAGGCACAGAACGAGTGAGTTAGGAGAGCTCTTGCAACATGATGTTCAATTTTATCCTGAAACTCATATCACATGGAGAGAGGGTAAGAGGGGGGAAAAGAAAGGAGGCAGAGAGTTTGGGAAGGGAAGTAAAGGTAGAGAAAGGCTAAAGATGCAATGATTTCTAACTTTATCCCATAATTTGGTGCATTACCCTAAAGTATATTCCAGGGAACCTGGATGTCCACCTTTGCTCCAACATTTATCCATCATTTTTAATGCAATTTTATAGCGGTAGAGCCCAGCTGAATGAAACCTTATGCCGCATCTCTGTTACGTCTCACATGTGTGCTTTGCGCAGCCGACACATATCTAATACACAGTTCCACACAGAGCTGAACACCATTCTGTTCTCTTGCAGGTCAGCAGATCTACATGTGCTCCATACCACACCGATAGGACCACGCATGCCCCCAATGAAGGATCTACACTTTACTATTGCTCCATGGCTAGCCTGCAGCAGCCATTGGATGACAGCACAATTTATGATAATCATGTCCCTCACTGGAATGGTAGCAGGGCAGCAACTGACAACGCCTGTGACAGCGCAGCTGTTGATTCCTACCAGCCCTCATCTGAGAGCGAAGATGTCCTTGTTTATGCTTCACTAAACCATTCTAGTATTCTAGATAAGCTCCCGAGAAAGGAGCAGGATGTGGAAATTGAACTTACAGAATACGCCACTGTTTGTGTGAAGAAATAGCCCCGGCAATGACATCTCTTTAACTTGGCCAGCACCGTAACGTTACATGTCCTGCAGTGATTCAAGCTTTACAGTAGGAGCATAAGTAGACTTTCTTCTAAACAAAGAGGAACTCTCATCAATAAAAGCATGCTGATTCTTAGGATATGTGCTGGAATTCACACTTAAGTGAAGCCCCTGTTCATGCTTGGATATTAGCAATCATATGTTTGTTATCTTCCACGTGGATTCATTTGAAGCTTTCATATTCCAGGAACCCCCTGCTCTGATCAAAGCACTGCCCAGAACAAAGTCAGAGTTTGGACAGGATCAATAAAAACTGAATAATAAAGGTTAGGCACATTGGAAAAGAAAACAAATTTAAAGGACAATGAGTTAGATTAGGTCCACTGGGGGAAATTATGAATTATGTTTGTTGAAGAAAACTTTTGACGATATGAATTTTGCTTGAAGAACATATTTAAGCATAAGACTGGGAGGTGTTCTGTGACTATGAAGAACATATCAACCTGCTACTAACTAAAAAGCAAGCTAATGTTTTTTTGTTTTTGTTTTCTACTACTAATTTATCACTCTCAACCAGCAGCCTATCCCCATCCGCGTAGATGGGGTTATCTAGACAGTATGAAAAAAAATCTAAAAGAAAGAGATCATGTTTGAAATGACAGACAAGAAAATAACTATGTGAGGTTAAAGAGGCAACAAAGAGGAGGAATGTATTGATAAACTGCAAGATACACAAACAGGGGTAATAGATGCATACATTAATTTATGCATTTACAGATAAACAGATGTCATGTTGATAAGACACATTACAGATGAATGGATGGCTCAGCCTGTTCAGATGGAAGCATAGACTGTAGGTGAACATGGAATTCACTTTTCTGTGGAGAGCCATGACTGGGGAAGCCAAACACCAGCAGTTTGCTGAATGCTGCTGTTCACCTTCTTACAAGTAAAATGAACGGCCACCACATCACCTGATTCTCAAACAACTCTACTAGCTTCCTATTTAGTTCAGGATCCAGCTAGAAATTGCCCTAATTTTTAAAAAAACTTTATATGGACTTACTCTGACCTACTTCTCTGACACTTTGTTCCTCCCAATCACACTCTTCTCATGGCCTTCTCCACATCCCATATCATCTCAAAACAGCTGGCAAAAAGAGCCTTCACCCTTCATAGATCCTGCCATCTCCCTCCCCTTTCAAAATCTTATCTGAAACATATTGTCTCCCTGGTTTATACCAACTGATTTCCCTCCACCTCTGATTTCACGTTTAACTGTACCGTTTGTTTATGTAGAGAGCCTGGGATACAACTGCATGAAAGATATTATACAAGGCCAAGATGTATTGTGCTGCTGAGGTGATAAACAAACAGGAAAAAGGTCTAAGGGTATATCTACACAGCAAAGAAAAACCTCTGGCTGGCTCATGCCAGCCAACTCAGGCTATGGGGCTGTTTCATTGCTCTGCAGACTTCCGGGTTCATGCTGGAGCCCAAGCTCTGGGACCCTCCCACCTTGCAGGGTCCTAGAGTCTGGACTCCAGCCAAAGAGGTCTACATAGTAATGAAACAGCTGCACAGCCTGAGTCGGCTGGCATGGGCCAGCCATAGGTTTTTCTTGCTGTGCAGACATACCCTAAGTGTCAGTTTATTTATTTCCTATAAATATTTCATTTGTGAACAGGCTGATTTTTTTATTTATTCACTTTTCCATAACTATTTGATGAACAGTTTATGTGGTCAAATTTCAGCGTAAAGGTTGTTCACAAATTGTTCCCTTAAAGTATTCATAATTGGCTTTCCTGGGATTCTGATTGCAGGGCCGGCTCTAGGTTTTTTGCTGCCCCAAGCAAAAAAAATTTTGGCTGCCCCCCCCCTGCACCCTCCTGCCACCCCAGCCCTGGGTCACTGGTAACTCGCTCCCAGGGCGGGTCATTCAGCAGGAATTTTGGATGTGCACAGAACATAGACGGGATTGGTTCCCATATGGTTACAGAACTGCAGTAAAGTGGAACAATTTTCAGCTTGTGTGATTGGAGGATATCTGGATGCATATTATAAGACTGTCCTACATAAATGAGGAAAAGTTGAGGTGCCTTTATTATTCTTTTGTTCCATTCTTTCTTTCTATGGGGAATTTGCCAATGCAATATCACTGTCTTCCTTTTAAACAAATAAAACTAAACTTAAAAATAATAATAATAATAATAATAAAAAAAAGCAATGGCTGTTGAAAATAGCAATTCCAGTCCTAATAACCACTGGGAAGCATTTCTTGCTCAATTTATTCTACTTTTTCCTACAGCAAGTTACAGTGGATCAGTATATTTGATTTGGGAGAAATGAAGTAACAGCTGCCCAAATTGAGCTTGAGCACTCCTGAATTTTGAGGCTGTTCAAATCTGGAAGGCAGGTGCTGGATTCCCTTTCTGAATATTAGCTAAATCTGGAAAAGAAAAGTCAATTTCTGCTTCCATGGCTCAGAAGTGTAAATCCTCCTATGTGCCTGGTACTGTATCTAAAGCTGCCCAGTCTAGTAGAGCCTCCCGTCCCTTACTTTTCATTTTAAATTCTAGTGGGATCCATGTACCTGCCTTGCTAGGCTTCAGATAGAGAGGTGCAATGTCCATTTAGTCCACCCAATTCTTTCTTTGCGGGAGAGCCCAGGGCTGGGGCGGCAGGGGGTAGGGTGCGGGGGGTGGGGGTGAAGAGGCCAGGCTGGGGCAGCAGGAGGTGCAGGTGGGGGCCAGAGCTGGGGCAGCAGGGAGTGCGGGTGCAGGGGAGGGGGAGAGAAGAGCCCAGGGCTGGTGTGGCAGGAGATGCGGGTGGGGGGGAAGAGCCCAGGGCTGGGGTGGCAGGAGGTGCAGGTGGGGGCCAGAGCTGGGGCAGCAGGGAGTGCGGGTGCAGGGGGGGAGAAGAGCCCAGGGCTGGGGTGGCAGGAGATGCGGGTGGAGGGAGAGCCCAGGGCTGGGGTGGCAGGAGGTGCAGGTGGGGGGAGAGCCCAGGGCTGGGGCGGCAGGGGGTGTGGGTGGGGGCCAGGGCTGGGGTGGCAGGAGATGCGGGGGGGGGGAGAGCCCAGGGCTGGGGCAGCAGGGGGTGTGGGCGGGGGAGAGTCCAGGGCTGGGGCAACACGGGTGTGAGGGGAGTCCAGGGCTGAGGTGGGGGGCGGCAAAAAACCTAGAGCTGGCTCTGTCCCTACTATTTACAGCAAGCTGCAGCATGAGGTTTCAGTTCTACACTCCTTCCCCCTCCCTTTCCTGTTAATTGCGGCCGAGGGAATGCTGGGAAATATAGTTCTTTCCCTGCTCCAGGGCTGGATCTATAGGCAGGGAGCTAACCAAGGAACTACAGCTCCCAGGGCTCCCTGTTGGTTCTCAGCTCTCATGCTGGATTCTTGCACCCCTGCAAATTTGCCACGCCAAGCACCTGCTTGCTTTGCTGGTGCCTAGAGCTGGCCCTGCTGATTGGTTATTTAAGTCACATGATACTGCTTTTGTTTGCCGACTAAAAGATGGAACTTTTTTGAACAGAGTAACAATGAATGATGAATGTTCTCATTCAGGCTTGATCAGCTTTTATTGGCAAGTAAGTGTGGATAAGTAGCGTACAAACAGCTTTTCTTCAAACACTGGTACAAACAAAAAGCCATTCACGTCAAACTTTGTGAATACAAAGGGGACACCAGAATGCCATTTTAAATTTGAAAGAATGTTTGCAACATTGGTTTACGCCATTTGATCAGCTCTTGCTCTGATACCATGCATCTGGTACTGCAAAAAATGTACTTAGGAAGAAAATTACTCATAGCAATATTCGTATCAACAGATTAGTGCTGCAACAATGAGAGTCTTCTAGCTTGGTTAAAATTCAGACCACAATTCAAAAGGAAGGATGTACTACATCTATCATTCGCAGGGTGCAAGTAACATACCAGAATATTTGTGCTCAAGTTAATGGAAAAGAGAAATGTTTGTATCTTATCTCTGTACTATATCAACTAGCACCACAGATATTAACAGGTTCTTGATCATTCTTTTCGATTGCTAATAAAGAATATTTATTATTCTTGTGGTACATTCTTCTGTGTTAATTCCACCTGCCTGAGCTAACTCTGCAGTACCAATGCTAACAAAGCTCTCATTGAAGTCAGTGGCAGTTTAGCCTGCATAAAGATTACAAGATCAGGTCCTTAGTTTTTAAACAAACACAAGCCATAGATCATTACTCTCCTTTGTTAAAGTAGAGGTACCCACACACGGTTCATTTATTTCCCAGAAGAATTTTACTTTAAAATGTTCTGTTTTATGCTGAGCCAAATTCTGCTACCCAGATGAAATAGTATCTATCTTATCCTGGGAGTGGGGCCACTGAATTCAATGAGACTATCATGGAGTAAGGTACACTCAATATCAGGTGGTGGCTAGCAGAAGTGGGCCCCTAATGACATCTGGTGTTCAGTTAATGAAAGTAAAATGCTTTCCATGAGCTACAAGTAACTAGGGTGACCAGATACCAAGTGTGGAAAAAATGGGATGGATGATGGGGGTAATAGGCACCTATATAAGACAAAGCCCTGAATATTGGGACCATCCCTATAAAATTGGGTCATCTGGTCACCCTATAAATAACTATCACAGGGGGCGTAGTTACATGCTTCTCTGGAGTGAGTTCTGCCATGATCATCTCATGAAGCATGTGAAAATGGGAAGCAGAAACTGCCATTAAATTAAGATGCAGGTGCAAGACTGGGAGCTGTGGGTTAGTGTGCTCCCTGCAGACCCACGTTTGATTTGGAAAGTAAGATTTCTGCAGATAAACAGGAAGTGCCTTACCACCAAATGTGCTAACTGCAAAAAATAGTAAAAGGAACTGGCATGCACTTACAATGGGTCTCGGTTTTTAACAGAAGACCAGACATCCTGAAGCAGTGAAATGTAAAGAGCTGAGAGCACTTACTATTAAGACGGAAATAATCTGCGCAGGTAAAATGC